GGGTACCATGTGCGAAGCCCATTTCTGGTGTTCCCCCGCTGGAATATTGCTAAAAGCTGTGTAAAAACCAAACTCAGTCAGAAGCACATCAACGCAGGCCCTAGCTTTCATGCAAGGTAGGCATTCACACAGCCGCAGCCTTCAATGCAGACCCTAGCGCAGCCTTATGCCTTCGTGCAGGTGCAAGCCTTCACGCAGCAGCCCGACTTTGTGGCCAACATCACAACGCAAGTTTTCATGGCTTTACAGCAGCAGCAACATCAACTGCAACCTGCCATTGAGATTGATAAGCCTGTCACGCAGTCTATCTACGTCTATCTACAAGGATCAGGAGCTGCTAGTCTGGATTGCTGATGGTCTACCGATCTCTTCACCTGCAAGGGACTCATCCCCAGCAGATACCTACTGTATTGAGGATGATGATATCAACACTTTGACTATCCCCCGGATGAAACAAGTGGCGGTTGCTGACATCATTGTTTTACACGTCGAATTTTCCTCTTCATAACATCAAGAAACAGATTCGTTGGTGGGCGTCGGTAATGTCTGCAGAAGTACTTATTTACAAGAGCTGGACAACAAACTGCATATATTTGTAGATGCCTTGCACCAAGGCTGGGGAGATCACTTCAATTCAGAAGGAACAGGAGGGACCTGGTCCAAAGAAAAAGAATCTCATCACATCAACCAACTGGAGTTTGAGGCACTCATAAGAGCCGTAACTCATTAGTCCCATCTATTCAGGAACAAGATCCTGATGATACGCACAGACAATGCTGCAGTGACCTTCTACATATATTTGCAAGGCTCCAACAGAATGGATACTGCGTTTCAACTGGCAATCTGAAAGCAGGCTGTCCGCAAATAGACTTGTTTGTGACAAGATTCAACAATCACATGCCGACCTTCGCCTCACCGGTTCAAGACGCATTAGCCTAGACTCTAGATGTCCTAGCAATATCGTGGCAAGAAGCAGCCTTAGGCCTGTGCACAGTTTTAGATCATCATGCAGCTACATGTCAGCTGTAATCCTAGACCTCCACGCAACTTCAGGTCTACGTTCAGTCTTGCATCTTCATGCAGTCGTCTGTCTTAGTAGAGCCCCATCAGCTTGTGCGCAATGGAAATATTACACCACAGCTGCTTAAATACTGTAACCAAGCTGTCAGAACCCATTTCTAATTGGGAATACAATAAAAACATAAACAAGGCTGCACATGAAACTCTCCTTGGCGTCATCTGAAGTGGTGTTGGAAGATGGTGGAAGCAGTGTAAAATCAAACGTGCATTCACTCAACCTCCTGTTGCACCAGATACCATGGAGATCAACCTGATGATACACCGGTGATGTCATACATTCGACAGGGAGTTGACTGAAGATACACAGTTAGTTCTTCAGAACTCTGTAAATGACCACGCTGGCTACTAGAAAATTCACTGTGTTATCACATGAAAATTTCGTGGGTGTGAAGTTTGGAGTGTGCATTCAACAGGATCCATGGAGCAGCGCAGACCAAATTTGCATATCACATGTCACCAATTCCCGGGGTTGTAAACAAACCCGTTATACAAGGGGGAATCTCAACAACTGCCATAGCCCTGACAGTGAGAGGACTGGCAATCATGAAGAGATTCATCGCTTATTTAGATGACAGTATATAATACTGTTCACGTCAATGAATCACAGGAACCACAGGAACAGAAGTATAGACATGTGGTCATCCCTGAATGAACAGAGATCATCTACGGAAAAAAGGGAAAATGACACATCAACACTAGAAATGTTGACACCTCAGGCAAATCTAACTTCAACAGGGGACTACTGCACTCTATGAAAAATTATGAAGAAAGCAGTGAAGCATGAACCAGCAACATTATAGCAAGACAACAATCATGCCATAACTGTTCTACAGCGAGTGGGCATTGCCCAATAAACTGCAGTCTAGCCATCAACAGAAGAAATTTAGAGTTCTATATCGGACCTAAACATATTTCTGAAGTGGTCTACCAGCAAAAGATCAAATCTAAGCTACCAGATTGGACAGTGATGAACATCAACCGTTTTATTGGAACATGCTTTTGATATATATATATAGACTGTCGACCAGGGCTACTTATCCCCATGTGGCGGGATATCTATGTCATATTAGAGCTTCCAGACACCTTAAAGGCTCAACACTGGCTGCATACTTGGCAGCTGTAAGTTCAGTCCTCATGATGAACACAGGGGTGAAGCTTACCAAGGCTCTGTAACTCATCGCTCTGCTGATATCCTTTAAATTAGAAGACCAGCAGATAAAGTTTAAAGCACCAGCATGGGACTTAAATATAGTTCTTCAACATCTTATCAGCGATGCGTATGAACCCCTTCATCAAGCAGACTTTGAGTTGCTCACTCAGAAGACGATGTTTCTCCAAGCACTTGCCACGGACGCCAGGATGTCTGAGATCCATGCGATTGACTACAGCCGAACAAGGTTTGACACGGGTGATCATCCGGCAGTTCTTTTGGACTCAGATGTGACTATATTGTAAAGAACCAACTCAGGGCAACCTAATAGACAGTTCCACACCCCTGCACTACCCGGGGCTGAAGATATTCAGGACTTATCATTATGTCCAGTCAGAGCTTTGAAGATATATCTAAAGAGAACTGCATTGAGAAGAAGAAAGTTCAGGAGACTGTTCATCCCGATGTCACCCAATACATCTACAGAAATATCTAGAACAACGATCTCCTTCTGGCTGAGAGCAGTGATTCTGAGAATCTACAAGACAGCAGGACTGGATCCACCAATGGCCATCAATCCGCAAGTCAGAGCCATAGCATCCACTCAACTGGCAACTGCTCCATCTCTTCCATAACCACTGACAGAGAGTCATGTTTCCCTTCTTTACAAAGTAAAGCAGTGCATGAGTGATATGATTCAGTTAAGTTTATGACCTATTCTTAACATATGGATCGAACCAAGACAAGAGGAAATGTAATTCTTTGCATGTCTTTAAAATCCCCAAAACCCACCACCTATCATATGCAAGCAATTAGTATGAGTCAGGTAAGGAAAATATATATTTTGCGGGGACAAAATGATATTTTATACTTATCATGATTCATAGTCTTAATGCCCTGCCAACTGTCCCCACTTCTCCATTATGTGGCTTTTATCAAACTTACCTTTTGGCCTTGAAAATGGAGAGAGTGATGAGCTACCGCTGGTAACGTGGGTTGCTGGTGCATATGCAAGAGGAGTGGTCTATTTGAGGTGAGCTATTTTTAACTGTTCTTGGGAACATGGGACAGAGGTAACCTAACCCGCTCAGTGGCTTCCACAAAATGGAAGTCGGACAACTGGTAGTCTAGACTGCGCACTTTGTGTACCCCTCTGATAAGTGTAAATTGGCACGTCTCACACGGCCGAAAGCTATGGATACACAATGCCATTTAGAAATTGGAGCCGTCCGACTTCCGTTTTATGGAAGCCATGGTGGTTGATCCGGTTGGACGGCTGACTTTGTGTGCTGGCAATTAGGGTGTGGGTTCGAATCCCATATGGGACCCAACAAAAATTACTCGAATCTGTACTTTACAAAGAAAGTGTAATCCCAAATATAACATATGTTACATTTGACCACTTTCTAAATCGCATTGTTTATTCATTGCTTTAGTCCGTGGGAGCCATTCCAGTTTACACTTATCAGAGGGGTACAGAAAGTCCACAGTCTAGACTACCAGTTATCTGACCTCTATTTTGTGGAAGATGCAGTGACTGAGCTGGTTAGGCAGCTGACGTGTGCCGGCGTTTAGGTGCCTGACTCTGAAGGTGTGGGTGCGAATCCCGGATGGGACTCAACCCAACAAAAGTGCTAGAATCTGTACAAAGAAAGTGTAATCCGAAATATAACATATGTTACATAAATTATATTGTCATGTTTAATGTTGTTATGTTCTATATTTTTTCATTACTAATTGCAGATTTCAATTCATGATCAAATTTATTTACATTTTACATATATAAATAGATACTTTTGTCCAGTATATATTTTAATATATAATTTTGTTCAGCTTATTTTATCACGGAACAAGTTAGCATTCATGTGAGGTGCATATGCTGTTATTATCCCCCGCAACGCGTTTTTCGGGGGGTATTAAAATGGACTCCGTCCGTGCGTCCATTCGTCCGTCCGTGCACATTTGTCTTTTCCGGAGCAGAACTCTAAAACCGTTCAATATTTCTTCACCAAACTTGGCACATACATGGATCTGGTGGTGTACTGGTGCCGTTTGGTAGTTTTGGAATTCTGAATAAAATATTTTTGACGTTTCCATGGCAACAAGTTCGACTTAGACTGAAATTGGTGGTAGTGCTCTTTTCCGGAGCAGAACTCTAAAACCGTTCAATATTTCTTCACCAAACTTGGTACATAGATAGATCTGGTGGTGTACTGGTGCCTTTTGGTAGTTTTGGAATTCTGAATAAAATATTTTGCAACAAGTTTGACTTAGCCTGAAATTGGTGGTAGTGCTCTTTTCCGGAGCAGAACTCTAAAACCGTTCACTATTTCTTCACCAAACTTGGCACATAGATAGATCTGGTGGTGTACTGGTGCCTTTTGGTAGTTTTGGAATTCTGAATAAAATATTTTTGACGTTTCCATGGCAACAAGTTTGACTTAGCCTGAAATTGTAGTAGTGCTCTTTTCCGGAGCAGAACTCTAAAACCGTTCAATGTTTCTTCACCAACTTGGCACATAGATTGGTCTGGTGGTGTACTGGTGCCTTTTGGTAGTTTGGGAATTCTGAATAAAATATTTTTGGCATTTCCATGGCAACAAGTTTGACTGAAATTGGTGATAGTGCTGCTTTCTGCTTTACTCTCCTTCCACTTTTCTATATACACACCAAAATATTTGACATAATCATAACTCGTAGACATAATCATGAAGAGTATTTTGCCATTGCGGGGGATATTGATGACTTTGTCTTCTTGTTCTTACTCCAGAACAAGACGTCAGACATAATGCTTCAAAGTATATGTGGTCATATAGTACCTGAAGCAATGGTGTGCTACCTAGAAAACTATTCTGCTGAGAAGTTTTCTGAGATCTTCCTTGGAGAATTTGACACACCAGAGGCTATCTGGAACAGTGAAATGAGGTCAGTATGGTTTGGAATTTACTTGTTAACAGATGAGGTTACTTCCTGGCTTCTTTACCCTTTGCTTGACCTACATGAATGTTTTTACCAAAATGAAGAATGTCATTGGTATCTTAGGACTATTATGGTGCCATAATATGGTACTGCGTGTGTGGTTCTGTTGTTCAAAACCTTCCAAATGGTGAGCTGTTTTTTTCACGGGGAATTAGTCAGCTAAGGGCCCGAGTCACTAGAGACTAATTTCAATATTATTAACAAGAGCAGAATGATTAATTTCTTAAATATAGCTGGGGATGTCCCAGAGTAGGTACAACAATGTAGGGACTTTGGGCCAGAGCTAACCTTGGTTGCAGAATGTAACCCCCGCAGCCCAGTGTCTTGCTTCTCTATCTATTTTACTAAGTAAGAAAAGAATCTGATTCATTGTTGATACAAATGACTAAACAGACCGGAATACGTATTCCTAATCATTAGACTGGCATGAAACTTCTTGAAATATTTACTGGATGCTTGGAGGGAGATTTTGATAAAATCACAATAGACAAGTTTGTATGGTGTCTTAATTTAATTAGCCTAAATTAAAGTATAATATAGGTCATAACAGGCTTACTTACATAAAATAATTGGGTGCAATCTATTAAACTGAGTTGATATAACTCTTGTCTCACCATTTGTCTATGGCTGATTATTAGTAAATGGTTGACAACAAGTAGGTGTGCTGTCAAAGTGTTGTTTGAATTGATATAAACATAGATCTCCATATTTGGCTTCAGATGATAAGACTTGATGATGCTGTTATATAGTATGTTTCTCGATGTTTACAGACGGCTAATGATTGAGAAGATAGCATCTCACCTGGCTGACTTCTCTCCACGCCTGCAGAGCAACACTCGGGCCCTGTACCAGTACTGTCCCATCCCAGTTATCAACTTCCCACAGTTAGAGAATGAGCTGTTTTGTAACATCTACTACCTCAAACACCTGTGTGATACAGTCAGGTTCCCAGACTGGCCTATCAAAGACCCGGTGAGTTGCTGTCTCTCATGTAGACCCTCCCTGCATTGGAACTTTTACATCATCCCTGTCTCTCATGTAGACCCTCCCTGCACGGGAAGTTTTACATCATCCCTGTCTCTCATGTAGACCCTCCCTGTAGTGGAATGTTTACATCATCCCTGTCTCTCATATAGACACTCCCTGCACAGGAACTTTTACATCATCCCTGTCTCTCATGTAGACCCTCCCCACACTGGTACTTTTACATCATCCCTGTCTCTCATGTAGACCCTCCCTGCACGGGAAGTTTTACATCATCCCTGTCTCTCATGTAGACCCTCCCTGTAGTGGAACGTTTACATCATCCCTGTCTGTCATGTAGACCCTCCCCACACTGGAACTTTTACATCATCCCTGTCTCTCATGTAGACCCTCCCCACACTGGTACCTTTACATCATCCCTGTCTCTCATGTAGACCCTCCCTGTAGTGGAACTTTTACATCATCCCTGTCTCACATGTAGACCCTCCCTGTAGTGGAACTTTTACTTCATCCCTGTCTCTCATGTAGACCCTCCCCACACTGGTACCTTTACATCATCCCTGTCTCTCATGTAGACCCTCCCCACAGTGGAACTTTTACATCATCCCTGTCTCTCATGTAGACCCTCCCTGTAGTGGAACTTTTTTACATCATCCCTGTCTCTCATGTAGACCCTCCCCACACTGGTACCTTTTACATCGCTCCTGCCTCTCATGTAGACCTCTCCCTGTAGTTGGAGCTTTTACATCATCCCTGTCTCTCATGTAGACCTCCCTACAGTGGAACTTTTACATCATCCCTGTCTCTCATGTAGACCCTCCCCACACTGGAACTTTTACATCATCCCTGTCTCTCATGTAGACCCTCCCTGTAGTGGAACTTTTACATCATCCCTGTCTCTCATGTAGACCTCTCCCCACACTGGAACCTTTTACATCATCCCTGTCTCTCATGTAGACCCTCCCTGTAGTGGAACTTTTACATCATCCCTGTCTCTCATGTAGACCCTCCCTGTAGTGGAACTTTTACATCATCCCTGTCTCCCCACTGTCTTTTATGTAGACCCCTCCCTGTAGTGGAACTTTTACATCATCCCTGTCTCTCATGTAGACCCTCCCCACACTGGAACTTTTACATCATCCCTGTCTCTCATGTAGACCCTCCCTGTAGTGGAACTTTTACATCATCCCTGTCTCTCATGTAGACCCTCCCTGTAGTGGAACTTTTACATCATCCCTGTCTCTCATGTAGACCCTCCCCACACTGGAACTTTTACATCATCCCTGTCTCTCATGTAGACCTCCTCCCACACTGGTACTTTTACATCATCCCTGTCTCTCATGTAGACCCTCCCTGTAGTGGAACTTTTACATCATCCCTGTCTCTCATGTAGACCCTCCCCACAGTGGAACTTTTACATCATCCCTGTCTCTCATGTAGACCCTCCCTGTAGTGGAACTTTTACATCATCCCTGTCTCTCATGTAGACCCTCCCCACACTGGTACCTTTACATCATCCCTGTCTCTCATGTAGACCCTCCCTGTAGTGGAACTTTTACATCATCCCTGTCTCTCATGTAGACCCTCCCTGTAGTGGAGCTTTTACATCATCCCTGTCTCTCTCATGTAGACCCTCCCCACAGTGGAGCTTTTACATCATCCCTGTCTCTCATGTAGACCCTCCCGACAGTGGAACTTTTACATCATCCCTGTCTCTCATGTAGACCCTCCCTGTAGTGGAGCTTTTACATCATCCCTGTCTCTCATGTAGACCCTCCCCACACTGGTACCTTTACATCGTTCCTGTCTCTCATGTAGACCCTCCCTGTAGTGGAGCTTTTACATCATCCCTGTCTCTCATGTAGACCCTCCCCACACTGGTACCTTTACATCATTCCTGTCTCTCATGTAGACCCTCCCTGTAGTGGAGCTTTTACATCATCCCTGTCTCTCATGTAGACCCTCCCCACACTGGAACCTTTACATCGTTCCTGTCTCTCATGTAGACCCTCCCTGTAGTGGAGCTTTTACATCATCCCTGTCTCTCATGTAGACCCTCCCCACACTGGTACCTTTACATCGTTCCTGTCTCTCATGTAGACCCTCCCTGTAGTGGAACTTTTTACATCATCCCTCCCATGTAGACCCTCCCTGTAGTGTTTTACATCCCCTCCCCACATGTAGACCTCCTCCCCACACTGGTACCTTTTTACATCATCCCTGTCTCTCATGTAGACCCTCCCTGTAGTGGAGCTTTTACATCATCCCTGTCTCTCATGTAGACCCTCCCCACACTGGTACCTTTACATCGTTCCTGCCTCTCATGTAGACCCTCCCTGTAGTGGAGCTTTTACATCATCCCTGTCTCTCATGTAGACCCTCCCCACACTGGTACCTTTACATCGTTCCTGCCTCTCATGTAGACCCTCCCTGTAGTGGAGCTTTTACATCATCCCTGTCTCTCATGTAGACCCTCCCTGTAGTGGAACTTTTACATCATCCCTGTCTCTCATGTAGACCCTCCCTGTAGTGGAACTTTTACATCATCCCTGTCTCTCATGTAGACCCTCCCCACACTGGAACCTTTACATCATTCCTGTCTCTCATGTAGACCCTCCCTGTAGTGGAGCTTTTACATCATCCCTGTCTCTCATGTAGACCCCTCCCCACAGTGGAACTTTCTCTCATGTAGACATCATCCCTGTCTCTCATGTAGACCCTCCCTGTAGTGGAACTTTTACATCATCCCTGTCTCTCATGTAGACCCTCCCTGTAGTGGAACTTTTTACATCATCCCTGTCTCTCTCATGTAGACCCTCCCTGTATGGAACTTTTATATCATCCCTGTCTCTCATGTAGACCCTCCCTGTAGTGGGAGCTTTTACATCATCCCTGTCTCTCATGTAGACCCTCCCCACACTGGAACCTTTTACATCATCCCTGTCTCTCATGTAGACCCTCCCCTGTAGTGGGAGCTTTTACATCATCCCTGTCTCTCATGTAGACCCTCCCCACACTGGTACCTTTTACATCGCTCCTGTCTCTCATGTAGACCCTCCCCTGTAGTGGAACTTTTACATCATCCCTGTCTCTCATGTAGACCCTCCCCACACTGGTACCTTTTACATCGCTCCTGTCTCTCATGTAGACCCTCCCCCACACTGGAGCTTTTACATCATCCCTGTCTCTCATGTAGACCCTCCCCTGTAGTGGAACTTTTACATCATCCCTGTCTCACATGTAGACCCTCCCTGTAGTGGAACTTTTACATCATCCCTGTCTCTCATGTAGACCCTCCCCACACTGGTACCTTTACATCGTTCCTGTCTCTCATGTAGACCCTCCCTGTAGTGGAACTTTTACATCATCCCTGTCTCTGTCATGTGTAGACCCTCCCCACACTGGTACCTTTACATCATCATCCCTGTCTCTCATGTAGACCCTCCCCACACTGGTACCTTTTACATCATCCCCTGTCTCTCATGTAGACCCTCCCTGTAGTGGAACTTTTACATCATCCCTGTCTCACATGTAGACCCTCCCTGTAGTGGAACTTTTACATCATCCCTGTCTCTCATGTAGACCCTCCCCACACTGGTACCTTTACATCGTTCCTGTCTCTCATGTAGACCCTCCCTGTATTGGAACTTTTACATCATCCCTGTCTCTCATGTAGACCCTCCCACAGTGGAACTTTTACATCATCCCTGTCTCTCATGTAGACCCTCCCTGTAGTGGAACTGTTACATCATCCCTGTCTCTCATGTAGACCCTCCCTGTATCGAACTTTTACATCATCCCTGTCTCCCTCATGTAGACCCTCCCCACACTGGAACCTTTTACATCATCCCTGTCTCTCATGTAGACCCTCCCTGTAGTGGAACTTTTACATCATCCCTGTCTCACATGTAGACCCTCCCTGTAGTGGAACTTTTACATCATCCCTGTCTCTCTCATGTAGACCCTCCCCACACTGGTACCTTTACATCGTTCCTGTCTCTCATGTAGACCCTCCCTGTAGTGGAACTTTTACATCATCCCTGTCTCTCATGTAGACCCTCCCTGTACTGGAACTTTTACATCATCCCTGTCTCTCATGTAGACCCTCCCTGTAGTGGAACTGTTACATCATCCCTGTCTCTCATGTAGACCCTCCCTGTATCGGAACTTTTACATCATCCCTGTCTCTCATGTAGACCCTCCCCACACTGGAACCTTTACATCATCCCTGTCTCTCATGTAGACCCTCCCTGTAGTGGAACTTTTACATCATCCCTGTCTCACATGTAGACCCTCCCTGTAGTGGAACTTTTACATCATCCCTGTCTCTCATGTAGACCCTCCCCACACTGGTACCTTTACATCGTTCCTGTCTCTCATGTAGACCCTCCCTGTAGTGGAGCTTTTACATCATCCCTGTCTCTCATGTAGACCCTCCCTGTAGTGGAACTTTTACATCATCCCTGTCTCTCATGTAGACCCTCCCTATAGTGGAACTTTTACATCGTTCCTGTCTCTCATGTAGACCCTCCCCACACTGGAACCTTTACATCGTTCCTGTCTCTCATGTAGACCCTCCCTGTAGTGGAACTTTTACATCATCCCTGTCTCTCATGTAGACCTCCCCACACTGGTACCTTTTACATCGCTCCTGCCTCTCTCATGTAGACCCTCCCTGTAGTGGAGCTTTTACATCATCCCTGTCTCTCATGTAGACCCTCCCCACACTGGTACCTTTACATCGTTCCTGCCTCTCATGTAGACCCTCCCTGTAGTGGAGCTTTTACATCATCCCTGTCTCTCATGTAGACCCTCCCCACACTGGTACCTTTACATCGTTCCTGCCTCTCATGTAGACCCTCCCTGTAGTGGAGCTTTTACATCATCCCTGTCTCTCATGTAGACCCTCCCCACACTGGTACCTTTTACATCGCTCCTGCCTCTCATGTAGACCCTCCCTGTAGTGGAGCTGGAGACTTTTACATCAT